GAATGGCGTAAACCAGGAGGCGAGCTTGCAGTGAGCGAGATCCGGCCACGTGCACTCCGCCTGGGCAACAGAGGCGACTCGTCGCATTAAAAAAAAAAAAGAAAAAAAAAGCTCATTGGGCCAAGCATCGGTGAACTCACGCCTGTGATCCCAGTATTTTGGGAGGCCAAGGCAGGAGGATTGCTTGAGCCCAGAGTTTGAGACCAGCATGGGCAACAGAGAGAGACCCTGTCTCTACAAAAAAATTAAAAATTAGTCTTACATGTGGTGGTGTATGTCTGTGGTCCCAGGTACTGGGGATGCTGAGGTGGGAGGTTCGCTTGAGCCCAGGAGGTCAAGACCAGCCTGGGCAACATAGGGAAACCCTGTCTCCACAAAAAAAATTTTAAGTAAGCTAGGCATGCTAGTACATGCCCGTGGTCCCAGCTACTGGAGAGGTTAAGCTGGGAGGATCCTTGAGCCTGGTAGGTCAAGGCTTCAGTAAGCTCTGATTGCATCACTTCAGTCCAGCCTGGGTGACAGAGCAAGACCCTGTCTCAAAAATAAATAAATAAAAACTAAAAATTGCTCATTGAATATCCTTGAGCATATATTTTTGCACCCTCACATGAGAATTTCTATAGGATATTGTCCTAGACATGAAATTTTCAAGTCAAGCTTATTACATTTAAAATTTCATTAGATTTTGCCAAATTGCCATCCCAAAGACTATACCAGTTTACACCTTCAACAGCCACTTAGGCGACTCTAACAGTATATTACGAGCATTTCTTTAGCCTAGAGTGCTCTAGCTTAGAAATCATGTGTTCTCCTAAATGTGTTCTGTCCGCCTTTACATGATGTTCTTAAAGGATTATGAAAGGTAGAGTGGTATGGTCCATTTTCCCCCTGGAGAAAACCACAGAGTCAGACTGGGGCTAGAACTCAGGTTTCCCATTCCTACTCTGCCACTATGACTCATTCTCCAAAGGCTTTAGAACTCCAGTAAACTCTTATACAGTAGCTTAAACCTGATAGTCTTGTGTAGTCCTTACTCACCTAATGTTTATGGAGCACATATTATGTGCTAGGTAGTTTTTTGGGTGTCGGGATTATAGCAGTGAATAAGACAGACGTGATTTCTATTGCCCTTAGCATTGACTAGCTATCAGGGAAATCAAATAAATAAAGAGTATTATAAAATACGGTGAGCATTATGAAAGAAGCTCAGGGGGCAGGAGTTATGGGAATATATAGCAGAGGGCCTTGGAGCTGTGGACAGCTCCTTTGAGAAGTTGACCTTTGAGCTTAGACTTGAAGAAAAAGTAAGAGTTAATGGTTGGGGAGTGGAAGAGCAGTCAGGGATATTTGAGCTAGAACCAATGGGACTCAGTGATGGAGTGTAGTTAGAGGGAAGAGGAAGGAGTCGGGCATCACTTCTTCATTTCAGGCTGGGGTAGCTGGGTGAATGGTGGTGCCGTTTCCTCAAATAGCAGACTTAAAAGGAGGATCTGCCCAGGAGGAGATGTTGAGTTCAGATTTGGACACAATGAGTTTGAGGTGCTACATGTGAAGCATCCAGACATTGAGAGGCTCAGGAGCTCAGGAAGAGAGGTCTAAGATGGAGAAAGAGGTAAGAACCATCAACGTGGTAATAATCATTAGTTTCATAGTTCTGATATCTAGTAGCCAATTAGGGTACTTTCTGTGTGCCTGGCTTTGTATGCACCTTACGTACTTTATGCACATTAACTCATTTAGTCTTCATAGTAACTGTAGGAAGTTATTACTGTTACTATCCCCGTCTTACCCGTGAGGAACTGTGGACACAGATGAACTTGCTCAGGTGGCACAGCTCAGTAATGGCAGAGCTGGAATCTAAACTCAGGCTGACTTTAGACCTGTGCCCTTCACCACTGTGCTATAATGTCTCCTGTAACATTTGAAGCCTTAAGAACAGATAACTGGCCGGGTACAGTGGCTCACACCTGTAATCCCAGCACTTCAGGAGGCCAAGGTAGGCAGATCATGAGGTCAGGAGATCGAGACCATCCTTGCTAACACAGTGAAACCTATGTCTCTACTTTATAAAAAACAAAAAAAAAAATTAGCCGGGCATGGTGGGGGGCGTTGCGCCTGTTAGTCCCAGCTTACTTGGTGCAGCGGAGCTTGCGTGACGCTGAGACTCACGCCACTGCACTCCCAGCCTGGCACAGAAAGCGAAGACTCCGTCTCAAAAAAAAAAAAAGAATGGCATAACTTTCACCTGAAAGAGAATGTCAAAGGATATTTGGTTTTAATTTATTATCATTCCTGTATTGTATCATCTTTGATGCAGTAGGGCACTGTTCGGCTGTGTCACTTGTGTAATTATATTTTTAAAAATTTTTATAGAGCCGGGGGCGCGGTGGCTTCACGCCTGTAATCCAGCACTTCTTGGGAGGCCAGAGGCTGTGCGATCACAAGGTTCAGGAGTCGAGACTCCTGGTGAAAACCGTGGAAACTCCATCTCTACTAAAATACAAAAAACTGCAGGCGCCGGTGGTGGGCGCCTGTTAGTCCAGCTGCTCCGGACGCTGAGGGCAGAGGAGAAATGGTGTGAACCCAGGAGGGCTGCTTGAGACTGGCGCACCTTGCACTCCAGCATGGGCACAGAGCAAAGCCTCGTATCAAAAAAAGAAAAAAAAAATTTTTGTAGATATAGGGGTAGACCCAGATTAGAAAGTACATTCAGCTTCCATTTTTCTTCACTTGGTTAAAGTCTGTCATGATCTCCTGGCCTTTGTGTTTGTCACAAAGATGATTCCTGAGGTCGTAAGAAGGAGGCATGAGATCTCCTCCAAATACTTTAAGTCCCGTACGAGCACATAAAAGTAAATAAATAACTGGGTTGGAGCCGGCGTGGTGGCTCAAGCCTGTAATCCAGCCTTTGATGGGAGGGCGAGGACGGGCGGATCACAGGTCAGGAGATCGAGGGACATCCTGGCTATACGGTGAAACCCGTCTTACTAAAAAAAATACAAAAAACTAGCGGGCGAAGGTGGTGGGCCGGCCTGAAGTCCCAGCTTCTACGAGAGGCTTGAGGCAGAGAATGGCGTGAACCTCGGGGAGGTGGAGCTTGCCATGAGCTGAGATCCGGCCATGCACTCCAGCCTGGTGCAACAGAGCGAGACTCCGTTCTCAAAAATCAATAAATAAATAAATAAAATAAAAATTAAACTGGGGCTTGGTGCGGTGGCTCACACTGTAATCCCAGCCTTTGGGAGGCCAAGGACGGGGGTGGATCACTTGAGGTCAGGAGTTCAAGACCAGCCTGGGCAACATTATGAAAACCCTGTCTCTACTAAAAATACAAAAATTAGCCAGCATGGTGGTGTGTGCCTGTAGTCTCAGCTACTCGGGAGGTGGAGGCAGGAGAAATCGTTTGAACCCATGAGGCAGAGGGTTGTAGTGAGCGAGATTGCAGCACATGCACCCAGTCCAGGCAACAGAGTGGGACTCTATCTCAAAAAAAAAAAAATTATAGCCAGTGTGATGGTGTGCACCTGTAGTCCCTGCTACTTTGGGGGAACCTGGGAGGTCAAGGCTACAGTGAGCTGAGATGGCACCAGTGTGCTCAAGCCTGGGGGACAAAGTGAGACCCTGTCGCAAAAAAAAAAAAGAGGTAATAAATAACTGATTGATTTGTGCCTCCTCACTTATACACAGGTTCTTCTAATGACTCCATCTCTTCCACCAATCCTTGTAGCAGGCAGCATGTCAGTAGTTCTGTTTTGTGTCTCCAACTAGGGACACCATGAGTATAAGGCAGAAAACCTGACCATGGGGATGCCGCAGGGCCAGTTGTCCCACCCTTTCCCTGTAGGAAACAGTCTAGGGAGAGGCTGTCAGAGACAGAAACCACTGAGCCGCTTTGTGCACTTCTCCAGGTGTGCGATGACTGTGTGGTGTTGCGTAGTAACATCGGAACAGTGTATGAGCGCTGGTGGTACGAGAAGCTTATCAACATGACCTACTGTCCCAAGACCAAGGTGTTGTGCTTGTGGCGTAGAAATGGCTCTGAGACCCAGCTCAACAAGTTCTATACTAAAAAGGTACCCAGGATCTGTGTTTGGGTTGGGGCTAGGGTAGGCATTGAAGACCAAATAGTGAGTTTATCTTTGGGAAGTTAAAATTCCAAAACCCATGTCTGGAGCCACACTTCTGTCTCCAGCTGTTGGGTGGGGTACCTAAAGCTGTCTCGGAGGTCCTGGCGTCAGCCCAAGCCTTCAAGTGGCCGTTACAGAGCAGTGGGTGGGGAACCGTGGACAGCCCCCATGATGGGACCGCTCTCCCCCTGTGCCACAGTGTCGGGAGCTGTACTACTGTGTGAAGGACAGCATGGAGCGCGCTGCCGCCCGACAGCAAAGCATCAAACCCGGTGAGGAGAGTTTTTCCTGAGAGTGTCTTCCCTGTTTCCACCAGTCCTTCTGAGTGTCAGGGTCCTGGCAGGGAAGTCAGGGGTGGGATTCCCCACCGCAGCAGTGAGCTGATAGCCCCTCCCTCACCACAGGACCTGAATTGGGTGGCGAGTTCCCTGTGCAGGACATGAAGACTGGTGAGGGTGGCCTGCTGCAGGTCACCCTGGAAGGGATCAACCTCAAGTTTATGCACAATCAGGTAGGTGCGAGCAGCAGCACAAGGCTCCCTGTAAGAAGGACCAGTGTCCAGGCCCCCAGTACTTCCCCAGCAAAGCATGAGAGAGGGCCCTCAAGCTAGAGGGAGAACTGGAGCAGCTGGACCCAGGAAAGAAATCCCAGGGGAGGGCACAGTGACGTTGGCGACCACCTGGCGCTGTGAAGGTGCACCAGGGAGCCCGCGGGGGAGGCTGGGCAGAAGCGAGGCCGGGTGGCCACGCTGCCCCATCCGTTGGACTCCACACAGTGTGAGTGGGAGCGTCTCACTTGGCCCTTCCCCTGCAGTGTCTCTGCCTTCCTCTATTCCCAGGGTATGCTTCTGCTTGGTGGTTTTGCTTTGAGAGTCTAGACTGGCCGATCTCTTTGTGTCTTTCTGGTGTGCGTGCAGCTTGCGTGTGCGTGTGCGCGTGCCTGTGTGTAAGTAGCTTGTATCTGTCCTCTCTGGAGTGTGTTTATTTGCCTTTTTCTTCTGCGGATTCTTCTGTTCTTTTCCTTCCTCTGAGTGTTCCCACTCTGTCCCCTGCTCCACAGGCCCCATTCCCCTTCTTTTGATTGGGAAGCAGTTCTGGATACATATTTCCCTCATTGTAATTCCACCATAGGAGCTGACTTTTTTTTTTTTTTTTTCTCTCTTGGTCTTTTAACACAGTGTTACCTTTTTCTCTCAGTGGACATTCCTTAAGCTAATTCCTTTCTGAGGCCAGCGCATCATCCCAGGTCCGTTCACAGCTCTGACTCTTCACACAAGTGCCTTCCCTCCTCTTTCCCTGATGTCCGGGTTGTTCTCCCTGAGGCTCTGAGCCAGACCCGAATGTGTGAAGCCCCATAGCCCCTGGCCAGGCTGCAGACCCTCAGGGGAGGTGGATGCCTGACTGACGTGGCTGTCTCCCTCCCTCTGCTAGCCGTTGTAGCTCTCTTCCAGGAACGTAGCTGGGCAGCTTTGGTTTAACGGGAAACAGCTGCCCAGGCTGCTAGCAGCCCCTTAGTGTATTTTCAATCTAGAACTTAGGGCGGTAGCCAACCCCAAAGACCTTAGGACCAGCCCAGAGAGGGGTCTACCTAAGTGCTTTTCTGGACCACAGAGGTGTCAGTATTTCTTGAGGAGCAGGCTCCTGACCACATTTTAGTGCTGTGGCCTCCCTGTCTGAAGATGAGATCTTGCTGAGCAACGCCCAGGTGCTCTGCCCTGTTCCTCGTCCTGCCCTTGGCACAGCCCCTCTGGGCAGCCATCCAAGCCAGTCTGTGGTTGAAGGCTTGGCACCTAGAAGATAGATTGCGCAGAGAAGGGGAGGAAAGCGGAGCTTCTCAATCTCACCTCACGGTTAATAATGAGATAGCAACCTGCCCCTCTTCTGCCACACAGTGGTCAGTTGGACTGGAGGGGGCAGCAGACCTCCTGGTGGAGCTGTGCAGTCTGGGGTGAATGGGAAAAGCACAGGCTTTGGTGTCAGGACGTGCTTGGATTTGAAGCCCAGCTTCCACGTTCATGGGCAGAGAAACTCTCTGATTCATAGTTTCCTCATGTAGAAAATGGGGGTAATACTATGTACTGTGTCATGTAGGCGCAGGGATTAGAAATCGTATTTGTAAACCCCAAGTATGTGCTCAGCAAGTGGTAGCGGATATTATTATCACCACATACCTCTTGGGAGATCCTGGATCCTGTTTCAAGGAGGATACCAACACCTCCCACCCCAAGGACAGTCTGAGGGGAGCTTTGTGCCCGTGCCAGCCCTCTGCGCCGGAGGAGGATGCATGGAAGGGTAGAGACCTGATGGGCTGAGTGGGGATCCCTGGGGCACGGTGTCTTACAAGCACTGCCCTGGGCAGAGGGTACGGGCGGGCAGCCCAGGCCAGCAGCGGGGCCTTCGGGTTGGGTTTGACCATTGAAACTAACGCCTTCATTTCTCTCCCATGCTTTCTCCTCCGGCCAGGAGCGGAAGGTACATGCCCTTTCTGCTATCTTCGCTTCTTAGCGCTTTTGAGTTGTGTGCGTGTGGATTCTTCTGTCCTCTCTTTGGGAAATAGACTTTCTTTGTGTGGGTGGGGCTGTAGCTGGGAGAGTGTGCTGTGTGGGGCAGGGGTGGAGCCTGTGGGCCTTACCCCGCCCTCCCTCCCTCTCTTGCAGGTTTTCATAGAGCTGAATCACATTAAAAAGTGCAATACAGTTCGAGGCGTCTTTGTCCTGGAGGAATTTGGTAATTACACTATTTTGCTCTTAGGTCTGGACTCACATGGCAGTAACTCAAACCTCGGAGCTCCAGAGGAGGGTCTAGGGTCAGGGAGAAGAAGAACCTCTGTAGAGAGGTCAGGAGGAGCAGGAGAGACAAGGAAGAAAAGGGACCCCTGAGATGAGAGCCGGGAAGTGGAAGGGAAAGATAGATCATGGATCGCAGAAGAGCAAATGGGGCTTCAGGTGGGTTTCGAGTTTAGAGGTGGTCCTGAAGCAGCTCAGCGAAGTAGCACCACCTCCCCGTGCTGGGCCAGCCAGTGGTCAGAAAGTTCGGGATAGAGCAGACTGGTGACCCCCAAGCTCCACTACGTCTGTATCACCTGCTGCAATCTCTCTAGCAGCCCAGTCCTCCACCCAGCCTCCCTGGCACCACTCTGGTCTCCACCTGGCCTCTGTGCCAGACAAAGGGCACGGGGCATCGCAGGCAGACTCACTTGAGGGACAGAGGAGCCTAGCAGGGCAGCTGTAGCCCGAAGCTGGGAGCCAGCGCTAGGGAGTGGTGTAGTGGGTTCTCACCCTGGGGCTTTGAGTTCCTGCTGTGTTTGTGCTTCATTCTTTTGTGCCCCTCATCGCTGCTATGAAAACCTTCGTTCTCCAGCAGGTAAAGTGACCTCGGCTCGTGCTGCCTCTCCCCAGGTCTCTGCCTTGGGCCCTGCCCTGGGTGGGTAGCTCCCTTCTACCGAACCAGCTCCTCACACTGCCAGCTCATCTCTTCCTTTCTCCCCCACCCTCTTTCTTCCCACCTTGCCTCCCCCCTCTCACTGGCTCACTGGACCTTCCTCCCCGTGTGCTCCCTTCTCTCTTCTGTCAGAGAGATACTTGGGGGAATCTTCCAACTCAGGAGAATGGCCTGGGCTTCTTGCTCTACCTTTGATGAGTTTATTCCCTGCTGACCCTGAGTTTCCCCAAATTCTGCCTCCCAGGGTCACAGGAAGGTACAGCCAATTCTCCTCCTGCCTTTTCTGGCCCCCAGGGAGATGCCAGGCCCCTCCGCTCCCAGTCTCAAGGGGCCATGATGATGGCTGAGCCTGGGGGGCCTACTCCTTCCTCTGGCCAAGCAGAACCCCTGCATGGCTGGAGCGGGGGCTCTCTTGCCTTCTGGGCTGTGGACATGTGTGTATTTTGCCTGATGCTCCCTGTCACCTCCCTCCCTGGGTGCTGTACTCGCCTGTCTTCTGCTGGGTGTGTTGCTCCAGAGCCCTCAGACGCTCTCCCTCACACAGGCAGGCCTGGGCTTCTCCTGCCGCTCAGGGAAGGACACTGCCACGTCCTGTGGATTTAGTATCATGTTACCTCTTCAGCCTCAAGACCCTCTATGTAGGGGGCTGGGAATAAAGGGAACTGTGTTTAACATGACCCAATTTTCAGGCTGGTGACAAGATGAGTTCACGGGTGTCTCAGCAAAGTTGGACACAAGCTAGAAACAGCTCTCTCCTCCCAGCCAAAACCTGGGAATTCCCCACGGCAGCTCCTCAGGGGCCCTGGACAGTAGCCGTGACCAGGCTGGTGAAAGGTCCATCCCTCCCATCCAGGGCTTTCAAAGAAGTGGCTAGAATCACAGCCATCAAGTGAAAGCCACTGCGGACGGCAGAGGCCTAGCTGAGGAGGCTGGGGCCATGTCCTCCCAGCCGGCAGGGTCTGGACAGAGCCTCTGGTGGCCTCTGCCCTGTCATAGCCTAAGCTGCTGCAGCCACTGTGAGAGGCCACAGAGGGGAAGGGGACCCTGACGCCGGGCGCTGCCGCCTGGGGGAGCATGGCACTACTGCTCTTAGTGTTGAACTTTCTGTTTTGTCTCTTGCCCGTCCGGTTTTAGTTCCTGAAATTAAAGAAGTGGTGAGCCACAAGTACAAGACACCAATGGTGAGTGTGCTGCTCAACCCTGATGGGCCACAGTGTGCAGGGCTCCCTGGGGACCTTCAGACAAGAGGAGGGGTGGGCCCTCTGAGCACACAGGGTTGAGTGGGGACCTGGTCTTGTTGCCAAAGGTTCAACTCAAGCTGAAACGGGTCTTGAGCCCCGGGAGACAGACACACACACATGGATCCCCTCTCCCACGGGGACAGCTTCCTTGCTTGGAGCTCACGTTTAGTCCAGAGGCCCATGCCCAGTGTTAGGGCAGGAGTTGCCCATTGGCAGATCCTCCACACGTGGAGATGCAGGAGTCTCAGTATCGTGATCCACTTGATTTTCTCTCCCCTCTAGGCCCACGAAATCTGCTACTCTGTATTGTGTCTCTTCTCGTACGTGGCTGCAGTTCGTAGCAGTGAGGAAGATCTCAGAACCCCACCCCGGCCTGTCTCTAGCTGATGGAGAGGGGCTACGAAGCCGCCCCAGCCCAGGGCACGCCCCTGGCCCCTTTCTGTTCCCAAGTGCACGATGCTGCTGTGACTGAGGAGTGGACGATGCTCGTGTGTCCTCTGCAAGCCCCTGCTGTGGCTTAGTTGGTTACTGGTTATGTGTCCCTCTGAGTGTGTCTTTGAGCGTGTCCACCTTCCCCCTCTCCACTCCCAGAAGACCAAACTGCCTTCCCCTCAGGGCTCAAGAGTGTGTGTCTGTGGGGCTGGTGTGAACCCACTGTTGTGTGTCCTTGAGACATTTGTGTTGTGGTTCCTTGTCCTTGTCCCTGGCGTTATAACTGTCCACTGCAAGAGTCTGGCTCACCCTTCTCTTTGACCTGGCACGACTGGGCGCCTGGAGCAGTTTCACTCTGTGAGGAATGAGGGAACCCTGGGGCTCACCCTCTCAGAGGAAGGGCACAGAGAGGAAGGGAAGAATTGGGGGGCAGCCGGAGCGAGTGGCAGCCTCCCTGCTTCCTTCTGCATTCCCAAGCTGGCAGCTACTGCCCGGGGCCCGCAAGCGTGGGCTGCTGCCTGCTACAGCCTCCGTCACTGCAGTGGAGCAGCGAATTCCCTGTGGCCTGCCACGCCTTCAGCATCAGAGGACGGAGTGGGCGAGGCTCGTGGAGTCCCAGGGACCACTGGCTGCTCTGCCTGAGCATCAGGGAGTGGTCAGGAAAGGCCAAGCTGGGTTTGCACATCTGTGTCTGCAGGCTGTGTCTCCAGGCATGGGGTGCCAGGAGGGAGAGGCAGCCTGGGCATGGGCAAGAGATGACTGTAAATATTTCAGCCCCACATTATTTATAGAAAATGTACAGCTGTGTGAATGTGAAATAAATGTCCTTGACTCCCTTCGGGCTCCCTGGCTGCCTTGCATTAAATGACACCTCCTCTTGGCTCAGGCCAGAGGAAGGCTGTCCCTGGACTCTAAAAAGGCACCTCAGGCTGGAAGGAAGGAAGGAGATGAGGTCCTCCACGTCCAAGCTTTGGCACACGGAGGCCCCAGCTCCCCTGTTCTGGTCTCCTAGAGCAAGGCTGCGGGAGGAGCTTTCCTTCCTGGGCACCTGGGGGCCCTGCAGAGAGTTGGGCTGCCGTGAACTGAACGAACGGGCTGCTAGAGGGAGCAGCCAGAGGGTGTCCTCACCTGAACTGAGATTAAGTGAAAGAAAGCCAAGGCCCTGGCCCTCTCCATTCCCTTACAGGTGGGTGTGGTCCAGAGAGGTGTGGTGACTCGGCCAGGGCCTCCCACAGGGCGCCGGACTCCTGGCCAGGAGTGTCTTCCACTGGGTAGAACCAGAAGCTCCCCTAGGAGCCGCCTTCGTGGAATTGTCCTGGAAAAACCTGGCTGCGCTCTCAGGGAATTTCTGAGACCTGCTGGCTTCCCCCACCCAAAGGGAAACTGATGCTCGGATTTAGGGGAAGTGAGAGCAGAGTGGGGCCCTGGCCCTGACACCTTTCTGGTCCCCAGGGTCCTGGGCTGGATTGGGTTGCTGTCTCCCACTGGGGATATGAGTGTGTACCGGCTGTTGGCTTATTGATGGCTGGGACCGCAAAGCCACCTAGTGCAGCTCCACCCCAGGACAACACAGATTCTGCCTCACTGCACCCCCAGGCGGCTGTGACCGGGGCCGCTGGCACAAGGACCACGCTGAGTACCTAGGACCGGTTAAATGCGCTTTCCGCCGTCACAGCTCAGTTTCATCATCTGAAGAGTGAATGCCGTAGGGGAAGACAGGTTCCTTCTAGTGTTAATGTTTTATGAACTCAAACCACTCTGGGCCTGGTGTAATCATTGAGAAAAGAACAAAAATATCTGCCCTCACTTTGCTGTGAAGATCAATGTCCCTGGGCCTTTTTTTTTTTTTTTTCTTGAGACAGGGTCTCACTCTGTCACCCAGGCTGAAGTGCAGTGGCGTGATCTCGGCCCACCGCAAACTCTACCTCCCGGGTTCAGGTGATTCTCGTGCCTCAGCCTTCCAAATAGCTGGGATTACAGGCACGCCACTATGCCCAGCTAATTTTTGTATTTTTAGTAGAGATGGGGTTTCACCGTGTTGGCCAGGCTGGTCTGGAACTCCTGACCTCAGGTGATCCGCCCGCCTCTGCCTCCCAAAGTGCTGGGATTACAGGTGTGAGCCACTGCACCTGGCCATCCCCTGTGCATTTTTATGAAAACAGGCACACTGAAATTGAGTGAGAAGAGTGAGTTTTCTGTGACTGCATTAATCTTTTATTGCCCAGTACACATTGGGAAGACACAGCAGGCCAGAAAGGCCTGTCCCCAGACATCCTTTCTTGAGGTCACCCTCCTTTTACCCCAAAGATCCAGGAGCTTCCTTCAGGAGCCCTGTGGACCAGTCTCTGCAACACTCACTCAGGCCTGCCCAACATAGCTGTCCTGCTGATCCCCCACCGCAGCCCAGGAGACACACTTGTGACACACACATCCAACAGCAGGGAGCGGTTTCCCCAACTTCCCTGCAGGCTCCTGGTATGGGGCTGGCATCTTGTACCTGCAACACAGGTTATCTTATGAGTGAGCGGAGGCCCCCTACAGCCTCCCATTTACTGATGGCTGCCCCCTGACCAAGGGCCAGGGCTTAGCCACTGACTTGTGCCCTGGGTGTCAGGTGGTCTGGAGTACATACCTGGCCATCCCCGGGAGCCAGCCTGGTCACTGAGGCACTGCAGAAGAGGAGGCCATGTCATTGTGTCCTCCCAGCCTTCTGGAAGCTAGTACCCATCTGGTCATGACAGGGTCCTTGCCCTTGCAGTCACAGCAGGTGCTTGACCCGGGACAACAGAGCAAAGCCCAGGGTCTCCACTGCTGCCCTGCTCTTCCCGCCTCCCAGGCCCTGGCCCCAAGGGCTCCTCACCTCGCACCTCCAGGCGGCACTCACACTGTGCCTCGCCCTGTAAGTTGGTGGCCCTGCAGACATAGATGCCTCCGTCAAACGGGCAGGGCTTTCTAATCTCCAGAGTCAACACTCCCTGCTTGCTGAACATGCGGAAGCGGGCATCCTGTCCCAGGTCCAGGCCATTCTTGAACCAGGAAATCTTGGGCTACAATTAAGGTAAAGAGAGGGAGGGAAGCCATCCAGGCTGAGAGGGGACCTGGCAGGGACCCAGGGAGACGCATTTCTGTTTATACTCGGTGGGGGGTGGTCCCACGGAGTCCCTGACTATGCCCAAGGCTGGAAACAAACATGGAACCAACAGCGAGTACCACGGCCCTGCCCAGGGAGAGAAACCCGGTCCATACACCCCAAGGTGGAGAGAAAGCAGAGGAGACAGGCTGGGGAGAGGACTGCTCGACATCGGGGCCTGTGAGCCCCGCCTCCTGGTCGGCCTGGACCAGTGCCTAAAGTTCCCTACCTTGGGGCTACCCCGGACAGCACAGCAGAGCATAGTGGTGTAGCCTGCGATGACCGAGCGGTTCACCAGGGGCTGGGTGAAGCTTGGGGCCTCAGAGAAGTCCAGGGCCTTATAGTTGGGTGGCTCATAGGTGATGCCTGTTGGTGACAGGACTTGGTACTGAGAGGGCCACACCAAACTAGGCCCCCCTCCCTGTTCCGATGGCCTCCCTGCCCCAGCCCCTGGTGGAGAGAATGAGGGTACAGCACCTGGTCTGGGGATAAAGACGGGCTCCTTGGTGGTGGCCGCTGTGTCACTGGAACCAACCATATTCTGGCTGAAGACACGGAAGTAGTAGCCATTGCCAATGATGAGCTCTGGCACCACGCAGTGGGTGCGGCGGTAATGCTCCAAGACGGTGAACCACTCCTGGGGGCGGGGAGGGAGGGGAGGCATCTCTGGGCCAGGCCTTCCCCGATGCCGAGAGCCTCTCCTGGGTGCCCTGGGCATCTCCACCCGTACTGTGGAGGGACTCAGATCAGCAGAGGGAGGGTGAGGGGCCCGTGGTGAGGACAGTGAGGGGTGGCTGCGGCCTGGGTCTGCCGGGCCTAGGCAGGGTGCACGTGGAGACCCCAGACCCCGGGCTCACCATGGTCTTCTTGTCAGCCTTCTGCACTGTGTACCCCCAGAGCTCCGTGTTGCCATCATCCTGGGGTGGCTTCCACTCCAGAGCCACATTAAGACCCCAGGCCTCAGTGACCCGGAGATCCTGGGGAGGACTTGGCTTGTCTGCGGGAGACAGACCCAGTCGGGTCACCACTCTTTCTGACAGTGAGCAGGGGGACACCGGGCTCCAGGGACTATGCCACCCCTACCAGCCAGGGCCAGGCCTGCTGGGGCACTGAACTGGAAAATGTGAGCTGTGGGTTGGGTCAGCCCTTGGACCCAGCAGCCCAGCTTAGGGATGGGAAACAAGGGGGCTCAAAGAGGCCTTGGCCACGCACCGACAACCTGCAGCACCAGGGTGGCCTTGTCCTCCATGTTCTCAATGCGCACCGTCACCTGGTAAGTGCCTGAATGCGCGCGGCGAGCGGCCCGGATGAACAGGATGGTGTCTGTGGGGCTGTTGCGGACGCTCACCTCCTCACCTGCCAGGGGCTGCCCCTCTTTGGTCCAGGTCACCTGAGGCCGGGGCTTGCCCTGAGGGGAGGAAAAGCTTAACCCTGAATGTGGATCTCTCCAAAGGCCAGCTGCCACCCCCACCTCTGGAACCTCAGATCGGGCCAGCCCTGAGACATCAGTCCGCTGGATGGAAACAACACACCGTAGCCTCTCTCCCCTGGGGGACAGGGAGGGGCCAGTCCCACCTGGAAAGGGATGAGGAGGTTCACAGGCTCCCTGACCTTCTTCTGAATGGTCTGACGCAGGTGCCTGGGCAGCTGGAGCCGTGGCCGTTCTGTGGATACAGAGTGGGTAGCTAAGTGAGGGCCTGCCACGGCTCTGAGGGGCGCCACAGCTCCAGCCTCCCTTGAGACAAGCCCCAGAGAGCTGCAGCTAAGAAAAAAGCTGCCTGCTGGGCCCTGCACCTCCTTTAGCTCCTGCTGACACAGCAACTCCAGCCTGCCCAAGCCCAGCTGGCTTCCCCGAGCCTCACCACACTGCTTCAAGAGGCAGGGATCAGAGAGGGTAAGCAACTTGACTGAAGTCACACAGCTAGTAAGTCATAGGCCAGGGTGTAAACCCTATGCCCTGTGCTGTTTCCACTCGAGTTTGCTGCCTCGTTCCAGCTTTGAGAACCAATCCTTACAAAAGATGGACCCTTTGTTGGGACGAGGAACAGAGGAATGGGAAGTGGATCCCAGAGGGACCAATCTGACGACAGACATAGACAATACTTACCTGTTGGAGCTGAGACGCTCCTGGAAGAGAGCTTGGGCACTGTGGCTTTTATTTTCCCTGTTCCAGAACTAGGGGTCTGACATAGACCAAGAAAGCCTTTTCCGCACTTTTTTTTTTTTTTTTTTTTTTTGAGACATTGTCTCACTCTGTCACCCAGGCTGGAGTGCAGTAGTGTGATCTCAGCTCACTGCAGCTGCCACCTCCCGGGTCCAAGCAATTCTCCTGCCTCAGCCTCCCAAGTAGCTGGGGGACTACAAGCACCGACCACCACACCCAGCTAGTTTTTGTATTTTTAGTAGAGACGGGGTTTCACCATGTTGGCCAGGCTGGTCTCGAACTCCTGACCTCAAGTGATCTGCCTGCCTCAGCCTCTCAAAATGCTGGAATTACAGGTTTGAGCCACTGTGCCTGGCCACCCTCTCTGCACTTTTTCCCTAGGCCTAGAGCATGGATGATGGCTCCAACCCCTCCTGTCTCTGCCAGCGTTCTGGGCAGAGCGTTCTGGGCCTCCCCAAACGTCCCCACCTCCACCGGACACCAAGGGCCTGGGGTGTCAATGGCAGGTCTTGTGACTGCATGAAGGGGCACTCACGTAGGATCTCCTGCACTGTCACCGGCTCCGTGGTGGTAACAGGGGCTCCAGGCCCTGCCATATTGTGTGCACGCACTCGGAAGAGCAGACGGGCCCCCGTGGGCAGGGCCTTCACCAGTATCGACGTGTGCTCTGTCAGCCCCCGCAGGGCAGCCACCCACTCTGAGCCTGGGGGTGGGGAGGGGCAGTCAAGGCCACAGACTGTGTCACCACCGACACCCCATCCCCACTGCCCACTCCTCTGATAGGAATCTCCAGGATTTAAATATGTTTTTATTTTTTAAATTTTATTTGTTTATTTATTTTTGAGATGGAGTTTCACTCTTGTCACCCAGGCTGGAGTGCAATGGCGTGATCTCGGCTCACCGCAACCTCCGCCTCTGGGTTCAAGCGATTCTCCTGCCTCAGCCTCCCGAGTAGCTGGGATCACAGGCGCCCACCACCACACCCAGCTAATTCTGTATTTTTAGTAGAGACGGGGTTTCTCCATGTTGGTCAGGCTGGTCTCGAACTCCCGACCTCAGGTGATCCGCCCACCTCGGCCTCCCAAAGTGCTGGAATTACAGGCGTGAGCCGCCGCGCCTGGCCTTAAATATGTTTTTAAAATGTAGTTGCTGATTTCACACTGCTCAAAGAAGTGTTACAGTCAGCTTTACTCTGCATTTGTTTTTCACTAGGCAAGCTTTTTTTGCTTCTGAAAACAGAACAGGTATTTCTCTGGATGTCCTCAATTTTAGGCAAAAGTGGGCCCAAAAAACCTGACTATGGGTGAATCTGCTCAATGGCAAGGTGAGCATGTTCTTCGTTTGGGGAGGGGGCTGGGGGTGGGGACACTCACCACCCTCTGGGCAGTACTCCACGCTGTAGCCGTCCAGGCCTCCTGCTCCCACGCGCTCTGGGGGCCGCCACTTGAGGGAGACTGTGGTGTCAGAAACGTCCTCTACTGCCAGGTGGGTGGGTTCGCTGGGGGGACCTGGGCAGAGGAGAGGTCAGAGAGGGGTCTCAGCAAGCCTGGGGAAGCTGGAGATCCGTGACCTAGACCCCGAACTGCCCACTGGTCACATAGGGGGCACTTCCTGTTCAGCTGGCTTTTAGCCACTTTTAAGGAATATTTTGTCTCTGTTACAAGACTTGTCTGTAGATTGGCTTAAAAACAAACAACAACAGCAGCCAGGCATGGTGGCTCACACCTGTAATCCCAGCACTTTGGGAGGCCAAGGTGGGCGGATCACCTGAGGTCAGGAGTTTGAGACCAGCCTGGCCAACATGGTGAAACTCCGTCTCTACAAAAACACAAAAATTAGCTGGGCACGATGGTGGATGCCTGTAATCCCAGCTACTCAGGAGGCTGAGGTGGGAGAGTCGCTTGAACCTGGGAGGCGGAGGTTGCAGTGAACCTAGATCGCTCCAGGACTGCACTCCAGCCTGGGTGACAGAGCGAGACTCCATCAAAAGAAAAGAAAAGAGAAAGAAAGGAGAAAAGAGAAAAAACCCCTAAAACTACAGGAAAACATGGGAATTTCCTGGCACCGAATAATTAGGTGAGTTGACTAAGAACTGAACAAACCAGGAGTCAGTCCCTAAAAAGAGAGGCCTGAACCCTTCTCCCCACAGGCCCCAATTCCTGCCATCTTCCCAAGCTGTGCCCCATCCCTGGGCCCAGGGGTCCCTGGCCTGCACTTGCCACAGACAGCTGCCCCTGGACTCACCCACCCTGGTGGGAACAGGTGTCCTCCCGAGCCCTGCCACACCCTCAACACCTGTTCTACCCACTCAGACCCCATTATACAGATGAGGAAGCTGAGGCTTCAGGGAGGGATGACTCCAGTTGGCCTCCTGGCGACTGTGGAGCTGCCTCTGCCATCTCTGAGTCTTGGTCCAGGACTCTTTCCACAGACAGACGCCCCTGAGACCCCTCCACTAACCACAGCCCTTGCCCCATCCCATAGGTGACAAACCCTGGGTTGAAGGGTGTGGGGAGCAGGGGACAATGAACATTCACTGGGCACCTGCTAGATGCCAGATGGCCTCTGCCTGCTCATCCCATCTCATCCTAACAGCTCTCTGAGGTGGGCAGTGTCATTATTCCCATTTTGTAGACATGGAAAGAGAGGCTTGAAAGTGAACTAGGGGTCGGTGTAGTGTGAGAGTCAGTTCCACCCCAACCAGCTGGGAGATCTCAGGCAGGTCGTTTAACTGCTCGGAGCCTGTTTCCTCATCTGTAAAATGCGGCTGAGTATCCCCAGTCAAGGCTGAAAGGAGGCCGTGGATGTGAGTGTCTAGCGTGGCTGCCTGCGGAGCAGCTGCTATTACTGGGGGCCTTTGACTGGGGAGGGAGCGGAGGCAGGACCAGGTCAGGCAGGCTCACCGATCGGCATGAAGGGCTGGGAGGCAGGGCTGGGCCTGGACATGCCGATGGCGTTGACCGCGTAGACGCGCATCTCGTACACCACGCCCTCGATCATGCGCCGCGCTTCGTGGCTCAGCTCCTGAATCAGGTCGAAGTTCAGCCGCATCCACCGGTAGCTCTTCTTCTTCTTGCGCTCCAGGATGTAGCCTGGCTCGGGGGAGGTGGCGGCTCTGGTCTGGGACCCAGGCATCCCCACACCACCTTCCCTCGGATCTGTTCGGCGCCCTCGCACCTCCGCCTGGCGCCCTTGCACTCACCCAGGACCGGCTGCCCGCCGTCGTAGGCAGGCGGCTCCCACTGTACGGTGCAGGAGTCCTCTCCCACGTTGCTGACCTTCGGGGCCGCGGGTGCGTCTGGCACGTCTGGAGGGGGTGCGGTGGACACATCAGCCCTGCCCCGCTCGGGGCCTTGAGTAATGTTGCTGGTCCCCTTCCCACTCCAACTAACTGCCACCGGCTGCCCCCACCACCTCCAGATCCAAAATCCAAAGAGATCTTTCTAGAATGCATTTCTTTCTTCTTCTTCTTCTTCTTTTTCTTTTTCTTTTTTTTTTTTTTTTTAGTGATACTGAGTCTCACTGTGTTGTCCAGGCTGGGTCTCAACAGGATGCATTTCTCATCATGTCACCAGCCCTCCATCAACACTTTAAGGCTTCACACTGCCCATATTCACCCCTGTCCTGGCTCTGATCCTCCCAACCCTACCCAGTCCTCTCCTGACACGTTTCATTCATTCTCCACACCCAAAAGACCCTTTCCCTTCTCCACCCCTTTGTACACAGTTTCCTCTGCCTGGGATGCCCTTCCTCACCATCTTCTCAGCCTCCCAAAGGCATCCCCCCCAGGCTCTCTGGGATGGCTCTCTGCTCAGTGCTCCCATGGCACTCTGGACACGGCTCATGTACAGCCGTGTTGCAGGAAATCTGCGGGATGCAACTGCCTCCATCTCCCCCACAGTGGGGCTCCTTGTGGGCAGAAAAACCTGCCCTGTTGCCACTCAGCTGAGGGAGCATGCCCGTGATGTTTGTCGAGTGGCTGAATGAGCAAACGGATGGGCCCTCCTTGGGGCTGCCCCTCTGTGTTCTCCAGCTTGGACCCTGGCCGGCCTCACCGATGACCTTGACTGTGAGGTTGACCCGGTCCTCGCCCACAGGGTTCTTCACCGTGACCGTGTAGACGCCCTCATCTTCTTTCTCTGCCCCCTCGACCGTGAAGATGCTGCGGTCCTTGGTGGTCTCCACACGGACCCGGCCCTCGGTCTCACACAGCAGCTGGGGGGATGGAGAGTTGAGGTGAGATCCAAGTCAGACCCCAGAGGCCCCTGCAGTCTCTGCAACAACCAGATGTCCCGGGGTCCATGGGGGTAACACAGCCTGTGGGAAGACTGCACACATGTCAGCATCTAGTTCCAAATCCTCTCTGTGGCACCGACCGAGGGCAGGGGCTCAGGTTCTAGCTTTGTCAGGGGACCTGGGGCAACCACCTGTCCTCTCAGATGAGCTAGCGTGAGGACCCCTCAAGACCCCAGCCTTCAGAAGAACCAACAGTGCTGGGCAGGAAAAAGACCCCAGCAGCTACAGTGGCAGGAAACTGCCTCGGAAACTACTCTGGAGTTGAGAGGAAGCACAAGGTCAAGGTCAAGGTCAGCTCAGGATGAAGGGAGCCAGGGAGCAGCCCAGTCATGAGGGCTTCCTCACAATAAGAGGGTGTCCAGATCCTTGTGACGGCCATCAGCACACTCCACAGAGACCCTGCCTGAGGTGTGAGGGCCCCCCACGGACCCTGCTGGGGGCAGCAACACACCTGGCCAAGTGTGGCACCTCCATGGAGACCTCACCAAGGGCTCGACACCAAATGGGCAGAAAGTGATGGAAGACAAACGAGCCCCATCCTGACCTGAGCCTCACTCACCTTCTTGTCAAACACCCACTCGTCGCTGTCACCTGCATCCTCTGGGGCATCTGGGGCTGGTCTGGCTGGGGACTTATTCCCCTGGGAACAGGGCAGGAGGGAAGTAGGGAGCAGAGGAGCTGACTCAGCCTGGAAGCACCCCTCTGCTGCTTCTTCCACCCCCGACCCACACTGCCCATCTCGCCTGCCCCCTGGCCAGTCAAGCCTCTGCTCTCCCACGGGGTAGCCAGCAGCAGGGCGTGCACACGTGGGTGGGGTGTGCAGCAGGTCCAAGCACTTGGCTGGCTCCACACACCCACCTCACAGATGGGGAGATTGAGGAGGGACCCACCGTACCTGCGTGATGGCCTTCTGCCAGATCACGGTGGGAGCAGGGTCCCCAGAGATAGGGACGTCCAGACGTAGCTTATTTCCAGCTACGACCACAATGGTGTCTGGTATGCGGCCCGGGCAGTCCAGGTGGATCTTGGGAGGTTCTGCAGAAGAGACAATGTAGTTCAGAGAAAGCGGAGAGCCGGGAGGAGCATAGGTCACTGGGGAGGGGCCACTCGAGAGCCCGGGCCCCTGTTTGTTGGTTTTTTAGATTTGTATTGAGGTATAGTTTATGCTCAGATCTGACTGTAGGCTGATGAGTTCTGACAGATGAATACACCCATGCAACCATTAACCCAACCAAGATCTAGAACATTCCCATCATCCCAGGACGTTGGCTGGGAGGCTTGTAATATTCAGGTCAGGTCACCTACCATAGCATTTTGAAAACTGGGGAAACATCAGTGTCTTGCTCCTGCCCCCCACACACATACACACACACACACACATATACATACACACACACATACATACACACATACATACACACACACACATATACACACACATACACACATATACATACATACACACATACATACACACATACATACACACACATACACACACACACATACACACATATACATGCATACACATACACACATGCACACACATACACATACACACACATACATACATACACACATACATACACATACACACATATACATACATACATACACTACACACATATACATACACATACACATACACACATACACACACATACACATACACACACATACACACATATACATGCATACACACATACATACACACATATACATACATACATATACATACATACACATACATACACATATACATACACATACACATACACACATACACACACATACACATACACACACATACACACATATACATGCATACACACATACATACACACATATACATACATACATATACATACATACACATACATACACACACATACACACACATACATACACATATATACATACACACACATGCACACATACATACATACACATACACATACACACACATACATACACACATACACATACATACACATACACACATGCATACACACATACACACATACACACACAGACATACACACACGCATACATACACACATATACATACATACATACACACACATACACATATACATACATACACATATACATACATACACATACACACATACATACACACACACATATACATACATACACATACACACACACACATACATACACACACACACACACACACACATTAAAAAGGTTCCCTGGCCAAATCAGGAATCTGCCCTCAGTTAAACAAAGCTAAACAAAGGCAAGTTTCTTTACTGATTCGATTGCTTCCGAATAAGCAAGAAGTGGGGCAGGTGTTCACTGCTTCGCAAACTAATTTCATCAGAGAACTCTTTTCAAGTGGGTTAACGATGTTAAATGAACCCAGTTTGGAAAGCACTCCAAGTATGCTGCAATCTGGATTATTCTCCTGAAGTTAAACTTGTGAAATGTCTGATTAAAGCTTAATCCTGGGCCGGGCGTGGTGGCTCACCCCTGTAATCCCAGCACTTTGGGAGGCCGAGGCGGGTGGATCATGTGAGGTCAGGAGTTCAAAACCAGCCTGGCCAACATGGCGATACCCCGTCTCTACTAAAAATACAAAATTAGCTGGGAGTGGCGGCATGCGCCTGTAGTCCCAGCTACTCAGGAGGCTGAGGGAGGAGAATCGCTTGAACATGGGAAGCAGAGTTGCAGTGAGCCGAGATTGCACAATTGCACTCCAGCCTGGGCAACAAAGTGAGACTCCGTCTCAAAAAAAAAAAAAAAGAAGAAGAAGAAGAAAAGATGTAATAATAAAAGTCACACCTGTGACAGCACTTGACAGCTCTGACACATCATGTCACCTCATCTTTATAACTACCCTATGGGGGCGGCACTATCAGGATTCCCATTTTAGAGAAGAGGAAACTGAGGCTCACAGAGATTATAATTGACCTGTGGTCATGAGTGGCAAAGCTGGAGCTGGGCCCCAGGACCCCCACTTTTGATCCTTGCTCTTTCCTCTGTGAGTGGAGGGGAGGCCTGCGTGGGTGGGTTGCGGAAAGTGAGCAGAACCAAGACTCGGGGGCCCCGAGACTTACCCTGCCTGGGTACGAAGTCAATCTTGACCTCTGCAAGAGAAGGAAGGGCAAGTGGCATGGGGGCAAAGACAGGGCCCAGTGACAGGGGCTCCTGGCCCCACTACCCCCACCCACCCTACCCCAGAGCAGGCTCACCCATGAAGTGGAGCTTGGCTGACAGGTTGCAGGCGAAGCCCTCGGGTACAAAGCTGTAGTCAGCCTCGTCGGCAGGTGTGACGTCGTCAATGGTCAGTTTGTGGACCCTGCAGGGAAGCACAGGCTTAGGGGATCCCACTGGGCCACACACCCCTGGCCTCACCAGATACCCCAGCCAGGGTCCCCAGGAGGCCCTCACCTCGTCCTGGCTTGTTGGTATTCCGATTTTTAAAAATGCCTTTTTTTTCTATATTATATAATTTTCCAGCTCTCCCATGTGCTTTTAGAGGTAGGCAGTGTAAAAGTGATTTCCACATCAAAGCATCCCCTTGGCTGGGCCCTTGGAGACTGGGCAGGGGTTGGGTGTCATTAATCTCTGTGAACTTGGGCCCAGCACGGCCAGCCCAGTCGCTCCCGGGATGAGCAAGAGGGCGGGAGAGGCAGCGAGGGCCTCTGGCCAGAGCCGGCCTCCTTGGTGGCCTCCTGCCCTGCCCTGGTCACAAGCTGGGGGAGGGCGCCAGGGAGCTCTCAACCCTGTCTGTGTCTCTCCCTGCTGCCTCTTTGTCTCTGTCCCTCATTCTTCTCTGTCTCTGACGAACTCTCCTCTGTGTGTGCCTCCCTGTGCATATCTTTCTGTCTCTATAAAGCTATTTCTGTCTTTCTGTCTCTGTCTTTTTGGGTCTGTTTCTCCCTCTCTGTGGGTCTCTGTCTCAGTCTCTGTCCTGTCTCTGTGCATCTGCCTCTCTGTTCACCTGTCTTTCTCTCTCTTTCTCTCTGTTTCTTCCTGTCTTTGTCTCTGTCTCCATCTCAGTCTCCACCTGTCCCATCCGCCTGCCCTGCACACTCACCGCCCGATGTGGGACACCTTTATGCGGCTGTCGGGCACCAGCTCCTTCCCGTTCTTCAGCCACACGCCCCGCACATTCTCATCTGAGACTTCACACTTGAACACTGCCTGGTCCTTCGCGCCCACCGTCAGGTCTGCGATGCTCTGGTACACCTCCAGCTTCTTTTCTGCAGGGCAGGGCTGAGCCATTGAGCTCGGGAGGGTGTGTGGGTGTGGCGTGAGTCCCTGTGGAGGGCGTGTAGGCTCCTGGGCGCTGGTGCGCATGTGTCTGGGTGCATGTGTGCATGTGAAAACGTGTGTGCCTGTGTGTGCCATGTTTGCCTATGACGGTGCAGTGCACATAAGGAACCTCAAGTGTTTGAGGGGTGGTGACGCTCACCAGGCCTGTCTGAGCCTCTCAGTACCCTCTGGAGTGGTCACTTCAGCATCGTCATTTTAGAGATGAGAAGAGTGAGGTTTAGGCTGTTAAAGGCCCAAGGTCACAGGGGCCTTGAGCCCAGGTTTGCCTGCTCCCCTACAGGGTGGGGTGGGGGCTGGGAGGCCCAAGCCTTGAAGCCTCACGTGCCCCGGCCTGGCTCACCCTGCACGATGAGCTCAGCCAGCGCCTGGCCCCCACTGGTGCGCAGCGCGTAGTGCCCCGTGTCCTCCAGCGTGGCCTCGTTGATGATCAGGCGGTGTCTCCGCCCGTCCTTCTTGAACCGATATTTGAAGGTCTCCTCCCGGGTCAGCTCCACCCCGTCCTTCAGCCTAGCCGGGTGGGCGGGTGGCAAGTGCTGTGGCGTCTTCCGCACAGATGCCCCCGATGCTCAGCCCTGCCCCATGCCCCATGCTTCTGGAACTCACCATTTGACTTGCGCCCCCTCCTCCGATACTTCACACTCAAACTCCACCCGCTGTCCCACCATCACCAGCTGGTCCTCCAAGGGGCGCGTGATGAGCACAGGGGGCTCTGTCCAGGCAGGGTGAGCATGAGGGTGGCTCCTGAGGCCATCTCCTCCCCAGGTTCCCACGGCCTCAGGCCCCAGGCCCACCTTTGACAAAGAGCTCCGTGCTGCACTTCTCGCCACCCACCACGCACTGGTAGGCTGCGTCGTCTGCCAGTGAGCACTGGCTGATGGTCAGGGTACGCTTGGCACCAATGGACTCAAAGATGTACCTGGGTGGGAGCCACAGGGAAGTGGCAGGAAAGTCGCGGACACACCTCCGGGCCCAGCGCGCCCCATGAAAACCCCTGTGCCCCCCACCCCAGGCCATCCAGAGGGGAACTTACTTGCTGTGGAACAGAAGGGGCCATTGGAGTGTTCCCCACGGGAGGAAGTGAGCCCGAGACCAAAGGAGAGAGGGAGAGGACCGGCGGGAGCAAGAGGAGGGGAAATTAGGCCCAGAGAGATGGGGCTGAGAGCCACAGTGAGTCAGAGACACGCATGTGGAGAGGGACAGGAGGCAAGGCTGTGGGGGTCCCCACCTCCACCTGAGGCCCCCTCCCCACCCCAGGCCGCACCTGCCACTCATCTGGATCTCCTGGCCATTCTTGAGCCATTTGACTTCAGCGTCAGGGTCGGCCAGTTCCACGGTCAGCCGGATCTTGTGGCCTTTGCTCACCTGGTAGGCCGGCTCCAGCTTCTTCTGAAAGGCTGAGCACCACCCCTCAGCCCCGGCCAACCCACCCCCACCGCCCACACCCTGCTCCCCCAGGCCAGGCTACTGTGGCTGGGGCTGGGGCCCAGGTCCTCCCCCAATCCCCTCTGTGCCGCCCCGCCTCCACTTCGCTCTCGGTGCCTCTCTTTCTTTTTGTGTGTTTGTTTTCTGAGACAGAGTCTCACTCTGTCAGCCAGGCTGGAGTGTAGTGGCACCAACTCAGCTCACTGCAACCTCCGCCTCCCAGGTTCAAGTGAGTCTCCTGCCTCAGCCTCCCGAGTAGCTGGGATTACAGGCATGTGACACCATGCCCAGCTAATTTTTGTATTTTTAGTAGAGACGGGGTTTTACCACGTTGGCCAGACTGCTCTTGAAATCCTGACCTCAGGTGATGCGCCCGCCTCGGCCTCCCAAAGTGCTGGGATTACAGGCGTGGTGTCTCTATGTATTTGTGTCTATGTGTCTATCCACCTCCTTGTCTCTGTCTCTCTGACCTTGTCCTTCTGTCTTCCTTGGGGTCCTCTCCACCTGCTCAGCTCAGGAATGGGGTTAGGGGCTTCCAGAAAGACAGAAGCTTGTCAGGAGAACTGGGGCTGGGACAGATGTGCCTTCTTTTCTCTCAGCAACCCCTGAGTTTTGTATTCTTCCCAGGAGCTCCCACCTAGCGGCCCTCTGTGCCCAGCGCTGTCACTCCCATCTCAGCCCCTGGGGCCAGTGCGGTGATCCCCGTGCTGCTGCAGTGGGGGAAACAGGGCTCAGAGAGGTGACTGGCCCATGCCACCAGCCTGGCAGGTGTGTGGCAGAGCTGCGTCTGGCCCTGCCCCGCGACAATGCCTCCTCTTGCGGCCGTGTTTGTAATAGCCCGTGTTGCTGCTGCTGAGCCCAGGGAGGAAGTGGGGGCTCCATCCACGGAGCAGAGAAGGACCTCTGAGTCCTCAAATACTCTGGCTGGGCCTGGAGTCAGCTGCAGAGGGGCAGAGATCTACTGCTGGGTGCTCTGTGACCTTGGGCTAGTTCCTTAATCCCTCTGTGCCTCGGTTTCCTCCTTAGTAACATGGGAATGGTAACAGTCCTTCCATCATAGTATTGTTTTGAGAATTAAATGAGACAATTACATAAAGCACCTAGTCCCTGGCTTAGGAAGGAATTCGCTCTTTTTTTTTTTTGAGATGGAGTCTCATTCTGTCACACAGGTTGGAGTACAATGGCACAATCCTGGCTCACTACAACCTCTGCCTCCCAGGTTCAAGCGATTCACCTGCCTCAGCCTCTGGAGTAGCTGGGATTACAGGCACCTGCCACCATGCCCAGCTAATTTTGTATTTTTAGTAGAGACAGTGTTTCACCATGTTGGTGAGGCTGGCCTCGAACTCCTAACTTCAGGTGATCCACCCACCTCAGCCTCCCAAAGTGCTGGGATTACAGGCGTGAGCCACCGTGCCCGGCCAGCAATTTGCTCTTTTTACTATTGTTGCCCTTCCTGGAAGACACCCCTACCCTCGGAGGTCCCGGTCTGCCTTGCCGGCCTCCATCTGTTCCTCCCGGGGCACCTGCAGTCCTTTGCTTGGTGTCCTCTGGGATCAGCAGTTCAGGGGTTAACCCAGAGGAACACTGGTGGCATCCAGGGGATCCCTGACTTAAATGAGGCCACAGTGCAGGTAAGGGCCAGGCCACCTAGTGATGGGGTGATAGGGAACCCAGTGAGGCTGAGACACAGGAAGGCAGAACGGAGGGCTAGGGGGCCTGGGGAAAGTTAGCAAGGAGGGACTAACCAACTCCTCTCCCTGTCCCCACGATCGTGTGTGTTTTGTGTGTGTGCTTCGGGAGGGGCTTGTCTCCCATACCCTGCATGGAAGCTGACCCCTCCATTCCGTCGGTGTTTATAGAGCGCTCGAGGTGTGTGCCAGGCCCTGTGCTAGACTCAGACACGGTGGGGAGCAGGCATGTGAGACTCCTGTTTTGCCAGTTCACACCCGCCCTCGTCAACCCCTCAGTGGAGAAGAGCTAGCCTGGGCTCTCCTCCTTCCACCTGGCTGGGGGTGAGGGGAGCTAACCTGAGCCCTCCTGCTTTGTTTGCCTGTGAGGAAGATTAACCAGGTTCTTCTCTTTGCCTGCATGTGGCTCTTCAGGCTTAGCGGGTCTCTTCCCTTTTCTTTTGGGTGTGGAGAGGGTTAACTGGGCTTCATTTCTTTTCAGAAGAGGGTAGAGAAAGAAAGGGTAGGCCTGGTGCGGTGGCTCAAGCCTGTAATCCCAGCACTTTGGGAGGCCGAGACAGGCGGATCACAAGGTCAGGAGATCGAGACCATCCTGGCTAACACGGTGAAACCCCATCTCTACTAAAAAGTACAAAAAACTAGCCGGGCGAGGTGGCGGGCGCCTGTAGTCCCAGCTACTCGGGAGGCTGAGGCAGGAGAACGGTGCAAACCTGGGAGGCGGAGCTTGCAGTGAGCTGAGATCCGGCCACTGCACTCCAGCCTGGGCGACAGAGGGAGACTCTATCTCAAAAAAAAAAAAAAAAAAAGGGTAGCCTGATTTTTCGTTGGTGAGGAGGGTTAACCTGAGTTCTGTCCTCTTCCTTGCGGCTGTCCTGGCCTAACCTTTGCTCTTCTCTTCTGTCTCTGTGGCAAGCGGCTAACCTGGGCATTCTTGACTTTTTCTACACAAGGAGGGGTTAACCTGGACTTTTCTTTCCTGTGAGTCTCTGTGCTAAGCTGGACTCTGCTCTTTCCATGTATGTGGATGGGGTGGTGGGGTAACCTGTGCCCTCTCCTCTCCTGTGTAGGGAAGGGCTAGCCTGTGCCCTCCCCTCTCCCCGTGGGAAAGGGCTAACCTGTGCCCTCTCTCCTCTCCTGTGTAGGGAAGGGAAGGGCTAGCCTGTGCCCTCTCCTTTCCCCTCTGGGGAAGGGCTAACCTGTGCCCTCTCCTCTCCCATCTGGGGAAGGGCTAACCTGTGCCCTCTCCTCTCCTGTGTAGGGAAGGGCTAGCCTGTGCCCTCTCCTCTCCCCTCAGGGGAAGGGCTAACCTGTGCCCTCTCCTCTCCCCTCCGGGGAAGGGCTAACCTGTGCTCTTCTTCTCATCGCGCCTCATGCCCTTGAGCCTCTTCAGCATGCCGCGCAGGTCGGTGACGCCGTACTGGAAGGCGATGCGCTCGTACTCGGATGGGGGTGCCTGCCGTAGGATCTCCCACACGTCCTCCTCTGCTGGTGCCTCCAGCTTTGAGTCCCTGTGTCCCGCAGTCCAGGCTGTGGCTGGGGGCAAGACTGCAGCCCCCTGGGCGGGGCTTCCTGGACCCAGGACCAAGGAGCTATAGCCACCCCTGTCCCTCTGCCCCTACCCTTCTGGTGGGGCAGCTGGAGGTGATCTGGGTCCCAGGCCAGGTCTGGGGGCCAAGGGAGCTTAAGTGGGGCTGGAGATTTGGAGGAGTTCCTGGCAGAATTAAAGGTGATGAGGGTGCTGTGCTATGATGGGCACTCACCTTGGGGGCCGGAAACTGCTGCTCCGGGGGCAGGGGGAGGGCAGAAAGGGTAGGAGACACATGAGAGGTGTGGCCGCCTTCCCTCAAAGACCCAGACCCCACCCATGGGCCTTTACCTCCTCCCTATTCTCCACACTTGCACTCCCTGTGTTGTGGGGCACCCACGCTGCTCCGGAGGCTCTGGCGGGATCTCCTGTGTGCATTACTTTTTCTTATCCCTCCTAAGCTCTGACGGATAGGTGGGTGGCAGGAGAAGCCCAAGGCACAGAGACTTACCCCTGTCCATGGGAAGCCACACCCTGCTCTGAGTCTCTCACCACAGCCTCTCAGGGAGGGGACGGGATCCCCTCTGCACCCACTAGCGCCCGGCTGCCCCTAAACACCCAGACCCCATTTCTTACTCTCTGGGTCACAGCAGCAGCAGCCATAATGGAGGGGCCAGGGGAGAGGGAGAGAGAGGGCAGAGAGAACGTAAGCCAGTTGGGCCGGCCTGGTAGACCCTGCAGCTCTGGGGACCCTCTCTCTGTTGCTTCTGGGTCCCCGGAGTTTACGGAGGGAGTTTTGCAGCCCTAAGTGTGGAGTGGCCGTGGGGGACACTGTGAGGATGCCTGTTCACGGGACATAATGTCTGCAGAGCCCTTTAACTCCTTCCACACCGGGACCATCCCCTCGACAGACAAGGAAACCAGCTCAGAGAGGTGCAGTGTTGTGCTCAGTGTCACACAGCTGGCAAACCACAGTGCTGGGATTTGGAGCCAGGCCTCACCAGCTGCCCCAGGAACTGCCACCCAGGACTCACCTCTTCTTCAGCAGTGAGCTGAAGTCCAGAATCCCAGCATCCTCGTGGCTGTCACTATGGAGAGGGACCCCCAGTGAGGCTGCAGTGAGGGACTGGAAGGGGATTAGGAGCAGGACAGGGAGTGGAGTGGGGAGGGAGAACGTGACGCTGGCCAGACTGGGCTCCCGCCCATCTCAGACCCCTGGAGGTCTGTGGATGGTGCAGATAGGGCCTGGGGCAGGGGTACCTGATCCGCCGACCACCTCCAGCCAGGCTCCTGTGGGGGTTAGACTCAGTATCCTCACCTGCCCGGGAAGCTTGCTGTCCCCTGCAGCCCCCACTGACTTCAGCTCCACCCCACACATCATCCCCAGCCCTGACCCCCAGTCCAGACCCTGAAGGGCCTCAGACTCCAGCACTGGCCTCTCCCAGGTCCTGAGGATGGTCACTCACGTGCGGCGGAAGGATGATAGGAGGTCCACGTCTCCGGTGCCCACGGCCTCTGGGTTCAAAGGGTGGAGACATGGGGGAAGGGGCTTCAGAGGGGGGTCGTTTGAGAAGCCCTGCCCTGGGGGTGGCCTCTGAGTATTCACAGACTTGCCCATTCATGACCCCGTGAGGCTGGGCATCTGCCCCAGGACCTCACCTTCCCAGCCTTTCCCAGGGTCAAGGTACCAGGGAGGCGGTATGGTTTATTGTCCCCAATTCCCACCCATCTCTCAACTCACCTTCACCCATGGACCAAACATTCAGACAGTGCCAGGCCGTGGGCCAGGAGCCGTGACACCAAGATGATAAAACAGAGTCCCACCCAGATGAGACCCGGACTCAGCCCTAATTAGGTCCCCACGCCTACCCGGAAAGCCTCTGGATTTCTCACACACTGTGTGTGCAGCACTGGGCACGTGGCCAGCACTTGTGCCTGGACGGGACGAGGCATCCTCCTTAGTGTTGGGAAACGGAGGCAGGGGACCAGGACCCATGGGGAGCCCGAGCCCAGGATAGTCACGAGGGCCCCCTCACCATGGACAGTGAGATTGAAGTTGGAGCAGTCAAATTTGTCCTTGGTGGACACCTCACAGCGGTAGCCACCAGTGAAGGCAGGCTGGGCATCGGTGATGTGCAGCTCGAACAGATAGACCTGTGTGAATGGAGGGACAGGGCGTCAGGGGACACCAGGGGTCGGGAGACAAGGCTCTGCACCCTTGAAGGAGACTGGGAGTGGCTCGTGCCTGTAATCCAGCACTTTGGGAGGCTGAGGCGGGCAGATCACATGAGATCAGGAGCTCCAGACCAGCCTGGCCAACGTGGTGAAATTCCATCTCTACTAAAAATAAAATTAGCCAAGTATGGTGGTGTGCACCTCTAGTTTCAGCTACTCGGGAGGTTGAGGTGGGAGAATCGCTTGAACACGGTAGTGGAGAGCCACTGCACTCCAGCCCGAGCGACAGAGGGAGACCCTATCTCAACTAATATTAAAAAAAAAAAAGGAGGCTGGGAGTGACAAATGCTCATCAACCTTCTCACCCTCGGGTTTAGTTAACCCATAGAGTTTTTGTATAGAGAAAGGGGACTATCGCAAAACCCATGACTGCCATCTGCTGGCACATGGTTGTGGTGAACTACAGTGCTTTTGTGCAATGCACAGCCCCCGCACATGTTGGCCCTCTCCTGCTACAGGCCCTGTCTCCTGGCCCAGGACTGTGGAAGGTTGGGAAAAGCAGAGGCTTGGAGTGAACACACAAAGAGACTTAAGTCTTAAGGTTCTGGTGGGCAGGGTGGAAAAACACAAAACACAAAAAACCAAGGCTTAAGGTTCTAGGCCTATGTCTAGGTGACCTTGGAGCAACCACTTAACCTCTCAAGCGTTGGTTTCCGCGTCTGTATAATGAGGAATTGTTCTGGTCAATCCCTGAGCGTCCCTTGAGCCCTGAGCCCTGATACCCATCCAGGGGCTTTACAACCCCACTAGCTGGTGCCCCATGCTTCACGGTGTCCTCCAGACTTCCTGACCACCGTGCCCCCGCCCCCTCCCCCCGCTGATTCCACCAAGCCTTATTAGGTGCTCCCTTGAGGCGATCATGTCCTTCAAGTCTCCCATGTCCCCCACAGCACTCCCATGCGTCTCATCGCGCTCCCTGGCCCCCAGGCCTCCAGGATCTCCCTGTGGGCCCCTGGCCCCTCCACCTGCCTCCCAGATTCCCCACGCCCCTTGCTTGCAGCTCGTGTGTGCCTCAGGTCTCATGGTGCCCTCTGTGTGCCTTGTGCCTTCCAGGATTCTCCATGTCCCCTCTCTCCGTGTCTCCACGACCCCGGCGGACCCACCTTGCTGGCACGGTCATAGCTGTCATGCAGCTGCAGGTGCTGGCCCACCTTGCTGCTCAGGTCCACCCATTTGCCCTTGAACCACTTGACCACAGGCGGCTTCAGGAGGCTGGCGCCGGCCACACGGGCTGAGAAGGTGATGCTGCCACCTGCAAGGGCAGGGCGACAGGCCCAGCTTGGGGAGTGTCCTGCTGCCCCCCTTCTCACCCCAGTGCTGGGCACAGCAGCTCACACTCACCCACAGTCACCTCGCCATCCTGTGGCCGCATCACGAAGAGGCCAATGGGGTCATCAGGGGCTCCAGGGGTAGGGCCGTTGCGAGCTGCTGAGCTTGACCCTGTGAGCAAAGGGTTTTTTTGTTTTTGTTTTTGTTTTTTGAGATGGAGTCTTGCTCTGTCGCCCAGGCTGAAGTGCAGTGGCGTGATCTTGGCTCATCGCAAGCTCTGCCTTCTGGGTTCATGCCATTCTCCTGCCTCAGCCTCCCGAGTAGCTGGGACTACAGGCGCCCGCCACCACCCCGGCTAATTTTTTTTTTTGTATTTTTAGTAGAGACGGGGTTTCACCATGTTAGCCAGGATGGTCTCGATTCCCTGACCTCGTGATCTGCCCACCTCGGCCTCCCAAAGTACTGGGGATTATAGGCCTGAGCCACGGCGCCTGGCCAACCAAAGGCTTTTGAGACCTGCCCTGGACACCCTCTACCCACGGATCCTGCCCCTCCCTGCCCAGCCCCTCTCACCTTCGGGACTTGGGGCACTTTCTCCCAGCTCAGCGGCTGGGGCCAGGGTTTCTCCAGGGGTTCCAGTGGCCTCAGCAGGGGCAGGGGCAGGGGCAGGGGCCAGGACAGGCTCTGCCTTCTCTGGAGAGGATCAGATAGAGTCGTGGTACAGTCACTAACCAGAGACCCCTCCACCCTCTCTCTCCTGAGCGTTGGACTCATGAGCCCACTGTGGATGAGGAAAGTCTGCCATGGCTGTCCTCCCGCTGCCTGGGCCCCTCAGAGGCAGCTCATGCTCAGCTGGAAAGCCACCCTGCCTCTCACATTCTCCTCCCTGTCCCAGGTCATCAGTTCCCACATCCTCTGCACCTGCCCTGAACAGTTCCAGGTCCAACCCTGCTCTGCCCCAGCCTTAGAGCAGCCCCACAGGCTGGGCTGCACTCCCCTCATCCACACCTCCTGGGACTTCGCTGCCAGCACACAAGGTGCCCTCTGTGCAGGGTCATCTCCCCAGGGAGGTCTGCAGGGAGAGACTGGGGTTGTGTCTTGTTCATCTCTCCCACCTACCCCATGGCTGGAACAGGCCAGGATGGCACCTGGGGTACTCAGAGAGGTCATGTAAAGAAAGGGGGAAAGGGGGTTCTTAGGGGAGGGGCACAGCCACAGCAAAGGCAAGGAAGTGTGAAAGTACCTCCTGTTCGCTGGATGGATGGAGAGGTGCTGGGCTGTCCCTCCCCCCAGGAGCCTGAACCTCAGGGAAGCCTGACCAGAATCTTACCTGCCTCTGTGACCTTGAGGTCGAACTTGACCTTGGAGGAGCCAGCAATGACTGCGTAGGAGCCCTGGTCGGCAGGGCCCACCTCCCGCACTGTCAGTGTATGCCGTGTGCCCTCTGTGGCCAGGCCATACTTGCTGCTGGCTCCGATGTCACTGCCTCCGCGCTGCCAGCGCACCTTCACTCCTACCCGCTCTGTCTCCACCTCAAACACGGCAGGGCTGCCTGCGGCCACTTCCACTGACCGTGGCTTCTTGCTGAAAGCTGAGACTGCAGGGCCAGGTGGAGGGTACAGCGGCCCCTGGTTGGAGCGTGCACCCCACCCCTGCAGCCCCTCTTAGTAAATACTGTGCTAGCACTTTCCACGCATCCCCTCGTGTAATACTCCACCAGTTCTCCTAGGTAGTTGCAGTTATTCTGTTCATTTCTCAGAGGACACTGAGGCTCCGAGAAGCTAAGCAGCTCCTCCAAGATCACACAGCTAGTAGTCGGAAGAGCCAGGGCTGTGGTCCTGACCTCCACGCAAGACTTTTGCTGCATGTGTCCCCTGGATACTCCACTTTCCCTGCTTGGAGACACCCGTGATGGACTCGGCTTCCCTTCCCCCCACCATCTGGGGCCCTTGGCAGGGGGCGGGGAATTCTGCCTACTTGGAATGTGGCCAAATTTGTCCTCCAAGGACCTCAGGCTGAGAATCAGCAACTGAGATAAAGCTGGCCTAGGAGGGCGTTGGGGGATGGGGACCTGGATCTCTGCCCTGGACAACCTTGGTAAGGGCATAACCCAGGCCCAGGACCCTGGGCTGTGATTTTCCCTGCCCTTGGCCTGGGTTCTGGGGCTCCCGACTGTCCTCTCTCAGAGAAGGAGGGGCTGTGTCACCCTCAACATGGGGGCCACACCATATAGGCTCGTGAAGCAGATAATGTCACAGCCAGGAGGAACCAACCCAATGCCACCACTACCCCCAGCGCCCCAGGTTGGGAGACTGAGACCCAGAGTGGGTAGAGACTGGTCCAAAGGCATGCCGTGAGCCTGGCTCAGCTCCACACTAAACACGGGCTCTGTCTGCGGGCAACCTTGCTGTGGAAGGCGAAGGAAATGGGACAGGGAAGGGGTCCTTTGCGTTCTCAGAATGGGTTGACCCCGGGTGCTTCCTGTCTCGGCTGCGTCCTCTGTCTGTGTCTCTGACCTTGGGTTTACCTTCACCTCTCATCAGAGGGATAGGAAAAAGAAACCGAGAATCAAAAAGGACCCCCGAGGACTGGCTGCCCCTGTCCTGGGGCTCAGAGGCCACGTCCTCATCAGCCCCCTCAAGAACTCCCTCCTAGCCCTGCTCCCCAATTGTGGACACCCCCCTGCTCCCCCACTTAGACCCAACCCTAGTCCTAAAGCTACCTGGCTTCTTCCCCGGCTCAGGCATCCTGAGAGACGTCACACCAGGCACCAAGCAGGCACAGGTCACCCAAAGAGGGACTGAGTGGGGTCTTGTCCTTCCCACTATATATGGGGACCTCCCCCCTCCCCAGGCTGTGCTTATCTGCCTTCTGTCCAGCCACCTGCTAAATATAGATGAATTCCAGAGAGCTGAGGTCTCTCCAGGGAGAAGGTAGGGCCACATTGTCCCTGGCTGGCTCCTGTCCCTTCCCCTCCACCCCCCTCAGCACAATTCTGCCTCCCCAACCCTTGGCGAGTCTCAGGGGTACCCCCAAGCCCTGTGTGTGTCCCTCTTACAGCAAATTGTACGGTGGGAGCATGCTGGGCCCATAACCCTAAGGCTAACGGGTCAGGAGCATCCTTGCGGGCAGTTCAGGCAGTGGTCATGTCCACAGACCCTGGGGCCAGGGTGACTCTGAGTCCTGGCACTGCCATCTCTTTAATCTCAAAGCACCTGGTTTCCTCATCTGTAAAGCAGGGCAGGTGATAGCAGCACCCACTGCACAGGATTGTCACACGTATGAAGTTGGTTTATAATTTTTAAAATGTTAGGCCGGGTGTGATGGCTCATCTGTAATCCCAGCACTTTGGGAGGCTGAGGCGGGCAGATTATTTGAGGTCAGGAGTTTGAGACCAGCCTGGGCAACATGGCAAACCCCACCTCTACTTAAAAAAATAAAGAATAAAATAAATACACACAAATTAGCCAGGTGTGGTGGTGTGGACCTGTAGTATCAGCTACCCAGGAGGCTGAGGGGGGAGGATTGCTTGAGTCCAAGGAGTTCAGGGTTGCAGTGAGCCAAAATCGCACCACTGCACTGCAGCCTGGGTGACAGAGTGAGACGCCGTCTCAAAAAATAATAATAAAATAAAAATGGGCTGGGCGAAATGGCTCACGCCTGTAATCCCAGCACTTTGGGGAGGCCGAGGCAGGCAGATCACTTGAGCTCAGGAGTTCGAGACCAGCCTGGGCAACATGATGAAACCCCATCTCTACAAAAAATACAAAAATCAGTCAGGCATGTGATGCACACCTGTCGTCCCAGCTACTGGGGAGGCTGAGGCCGGAGAATCACTTGAGCCCAGGGGGTCAGTGCTGCAGTGAGCCGTGTTCGTGCCACTGCACTCCAGCCTGGGCAACAAAGTAAGACCCTGTCTCAAAAAAAAATAAAAATAAAAATAGAATAATGAAGACACAACACCATTTTGCCTTCTCTTGTGGCCCTGAAGTAGGACTAGGGAGCTGCAGGGTTGGGCTGCAGTGAGCCCTCTGGGGGTGAGGAGGTGTGGAAGGGCATTTGTCGCTACGGTGATGACCCCAGAATCTGGGTTCCCTGAGGTCTCTGACAGCGTTGGGAAGCCTCTCACTCCCGTGCTGTCTACTGCCACTTCTTGCTACCGTCTGAAGGAAAACACAGGACTCACAGGCTTCCCTGCTCAGCTCGGTCTGTTTCTCCCCTGCTGTGGCGAGGAACTGGAAAGCAAACAGACCCTGGGGGTCCCACCAGGGATTCACCTGGGTCTAAAGTCCTGCTAGGCGTGCAGCTCATGAGAATGCTGTGTGGCCCACAGGAGCTTTGGGGCTTAAGTCCTGTCCTTGGAATGCTGAAGTGTATCCTCTTCCAGATAAGCGAAGCCTCCTACTCCCTGTTGACGTGTCGGGGACAGACCTGGAGTGTGATCCAACTTGGCCACTCAGCGGCTGTGACCTTGGGGAAATAATTTGACCTCTACAAGCCTCAGTTTCCCATTCTATAAAATAGAGTGATATTAGACTCCACATCTCAAGGTTGGCAGGTACTAATTGACCAGAAAATCCAATGTTGTTGCTATGGTCATCATCATCATCATCATCATCATCATCATCATCATCAAATGAGTTCAAACCTCATCAAGGCTTAAAACTAACAACTACCACCAGGAGTAGAGAGCTTTTAAATAGGATCTGTTCCCCTCATCACACAATCGAGGACTTGTTCTTTCCACCAAACTCTAACTCCTGGTCAGGCGCCTGTGTCATTGGTCCTCATGTTCCCAGGGTCCAGCATTGGCTACAGTCCTCAGTAAACACCCGATGGACAAATGACAAAAAGACGTCGCAGCACACACGGGCCAGAAGAGGTGTACAACAAATTTTAAAAGAGACTCCGTGCTGCAAGAGGATGGATTGAGAATAACTTTACTTGTTTTCTGGGAGGAGGTTAATGGGTGGGAGGGGTGAGAGGGGAGATCTGATTTACACACGGACTTGAGACTCCCAAGGAAGTACCCCGGGTCGTCCTCAGCAAGGTTGCCCCGGTGGGGTCTGACGCCCAGGTGGCCTCCCGGAGCCGGGGCGGAGTCCTGGAGGGAGGCGAAGCGGGATGTGGAGGGGGGCTGGAGTGGGGGGAATGGGCGGGTGAGGCGAGGCCCGGCCCGCCACAGTCCTGCCTCTGGGCCCCGGGAGCGTCCTCCCTGTGTCCGGGCCGGGCGAGGGCTTAATGCTATGGCCAGCCGGGAGGCCTGGCGGGGCCCGGCGAGGGCTGCGGGCTCAATGGGGCGGGTGGCGCCGCTCGGCCAGGCCCCCACGGCCCAGCACTTCGCCGCTGAACTGGTAGGTGAGCTTCTTCTTCACCTTCTTGACCTCTCCCGTCTTGCCGTAGTTGCGCAGCGCGCGCGCCATCTTCTGGTACGTCATCTTCTTGCGGTTGCCCTTCTGGATTCCCCAGCGGTGCGCCAGCGCCTCCTTGTGCTTGGACGAGAACTGGAAGGTGCCCTTGTCCTTGTCCACCCACCAGATGCTGTCCTTCATGTCGCCGCTGCGGAGCAGGTCCAACAGGAACTGGTACAGACGGATCTTCTTCTTGCTGCCTGCGGGGGGAGGGCCCGGTGGGAGGGGGCCCGGGGGCCCACATGGGAGCCGCCCCCACCGCCTTGCGCAGAGACGGGGACCCGGGGACGGGGTGGCCAGGAAGGGCAGGAGAACGGCTGCCCCAGCCCGCGCCAGGCGTGCACAAACAGCGCACCCACACTCACACACACAAACAGCCGCTGGCCTACACACAACCGTTCACACACACCGACTCACACACGCACTCACACACCCCCATGCACACACACTCGCACCCACACAGTGCACCAATCGCATACACATGCTCACACACCCACATAACGCACCCACTCAGCCACACCTGCTTGCACTCATACACACCACGCCCACAGCCACTTACACACGTGCTCACACAGCGCACCTTCTCCCCCTCACGCTCATGCTCACAGTGCACCCACTCACATGCTCACACCCACACACCTGCTCACACATACACCCACTCATACCTACTCACACGCACACACAATGCTCACACATGCACACACACACACGCACACACAATGCACATGCTCACACACAGACTCACACCCACATGCTCACACACATGCTTGTGCAATGCACCCACACCCTCACACCCGCTCACACATCTGATTGCACCCACAACCCACCCACTTGCACATTCACACCATCTGCTCTCACACACGACACACCCACTCAAACTTCAAACTTGCTCTCACACACCCACACAATGCACTTGCTCACACCCACACATATGCACACAAACACACCCATTCACTAACATGCCCACACACTGGCACCCACATGACACACCCACTCGCACGCTTGCAGCCACCTGCATGCTCAAACCCACACACTACATCTGCTTACACATTCACAACCCATTTACACCCCACTCACACCCACTCATGCTCACACCTCATTCACACCCACTCACATGCACACAAACACATGCAATGCACCCACTCACATGCACACACACTCAGACCTACTCACACCCCCAGATGCACGGTCACACCCACACAATGCATCTTCTCACACTTATACACATGCCCAGTCACACCCACTCACACACACACCTCACACCAGGTCTCACACACTCATGTGCTCACACGCCTGCTCATACACCTCACACCAGGTCTCATAATCATAGCTGCTTATATATGCTTGCACAAACACACACCTGCTTACACATCTCACATTGCTCACCCTCACACCTCACATTGCTCACCCTCACACACAAGCCTCTGCTCAGCACACGCATGCTTACATACCTCACACCATTCACACACACACCTACCCACTCACACATGGTCACACCTGCCCACACCTGCTCACACACATATTTGCACACACAGACCTCACACACATCACATTATTCACCCACATACATGCCCCTGCTCACACACTTATGCTCACACACACCTCACACCATTCACTCACACACACCCACTCACACTTGCTCACATCTGCTCACATGCTCACCTATTCATACAACTCACACTCATACCTCACACCACGTCTCTCACACACACATGCTCACACGCTCATGCTCACAGACATGCTCACACCTCATACATGCTCACACCTCACACTCACAGCCACTCTTGCTTACACGTCACACATTCACACCCACTCACATGCTCACACCTCACACATAATCACACCTCACACACATGCTCACATCTCTCAATCACACCCACTCACACAGCAGCCCACACATACCCACACACACATGCTCACACCTTATATGCCCATACCTCACACATTCCTGCTCACAGGCTTGCTCACACCTCACAGTTGCTCACACATGCACTCACAATGCTCACACCAGCTCATTCACACCTCATTGACACCTGCTCACTCGTATTTCACACCACTTACTTGCACCTCACTCACACCTGCTCACGCATGCACACACATTCTACTCATACACACCCACTTGCATGCTTACACACCTGTTCACACACAACCAGACACCCGCTTGCACACTCTTGCTCACACACATTCTGCTCTCACACCCACTCAGCAGCTCACACACCTGCTCACATGCTCACACATCACATGTGCTCACAGCCATTTTCTTGTTTTTGAGACTGAGTTTTGCTCTTATTGCCTAGGCTGGAGTGCAATGGTGTGATTTTGGCTCACTGCAACCTCCGCCTCCCGGGTTC